GGTACTTCCGCTAGTAAGGGGAAGAGCTCGGGATGATGGCATGGCACACACCACAGCTTCAGTTTATCCTGGGAGTTTTATTCGGATATTTTAATATGTTTTGACATCAGTTGATTTGATAAATTTATTATATGACATTTTGAGACGCATGATCCATAGATTTATCTTTTAATATTTGATATTATGGTTTAGTAAAGTTTTCAAACGAAAATTTTTGGGTTGTATTTTTGGGATGTTACAAAAAATAAAAAAATTAACCCCCACCCCACCCACCGTTCTCTTTCTTTCTCTCTCTCTCTCACACACACACACACATCCTTCTTCACACTCGTCGTTCTCACCAAAATTTATCACCGGAGTTCATAAAACAAGTCTGCTGCCTTTCACCAAAACCTCTCGCCGGAGTTCATCATCCTCTCTCCAGAAATCTGAAGACTGTATGAAATATTGAACACTCTTGTTCCTCTTTTCTCATCGGCGACACTTGTTTTCTCCGACCAGCAAACCCTAGTGAACCTGATTTTTCTTCGGCCAACAAACTCTAACAAACCATATTTGTCAAGACCATTGCATATGATGTCAACATCAAGATTCGTGTATTTGATTTTCTGGACGGAGCACTTTAATTTTTTGGATCGAGTGTGCATGTTTAAGAGTTTGGTTTGGGGATTTATGATCATGGTGTTTGATTTCAGAGAATTTTGATTCAGATTCATCAGGTCCAAGTGTTTAATTTTGGTTCAGGTCCAAGGTTTGTTTTGAATACATACCTCGGGAACAAAGTAATATTTCTGATGTCCTTGTCTATGATTCCAATTTCATCCGATTTGATTTAAGGGCATGTATTTTTATGTCTCAAGAACAAAAATATTTTTTTTTCTGGTTTCCTTCTTCATGATTTCAGGATCATTATATTTGATTTCACGGATTGTATGTATAGTTTCCTTATTCATAAACGATATCTTCAAGATATTTCTGGTTTGATTATATTTTGAATGTATTTGGTTTGATTATATTTATTGTCAAAGTTTGAGTGCCCGAAAAAAAAAGGTGGGGATGGGTTGGAGGAGTAGTAAAATTCTTTGTTCTTTTTTGTATTTCAAGACCTAGAATTGCATCACAAATGAAGAACATGATGAACTTGATTCTGGTTTTTTTGTTAGTTTGATTTTGGTTTCACTTTGAATTGTTTCTCATCCTCACACATCTGGAAAGAATGTGAGTTTTGCAGGTTGAAGTGCAGAGAAGGGATGGATAGAGAGAGAGAGAGAGAGAGAGGTGGGGATGGATGGGTAGATTAATACTTTGTTAGAAAAGACATAATTGTCTTTTCAAGTTTTTTTGGATGAAAATCACGTTTTAATTTTGCACCTTCCATGCAAGTTAGAAACATTTTAGCTTCTATCCAAAAAAAAAAATTAATACTAGAGGGCAGTTTTATTTTTTTTTAATTTTTTTTTTAAATAAACAAATTTGATTGTTACTAAAGTTAATATTTCGGGTAAGTGGCTTTTCCGAATTTCAATCTCTTTTTCCAGATCGAATTTTCAATCTTCTAACCGCTACTCCGTGCCAGTTTGCATCTAGTGAATCGACAGTTAGGCCATGCTTTGGATTTGTAAATGTCAGCTCTGGAAACTAGGCCTGTCCAAAGTATAAGTACAATTGTACAAACCGACGACTACATTCTCCCCCGTTAGGATTCCGATTATCTAGATCAAACTGCCACCGTGATCCGACGGCCGGCGAGTTCTCCGTGGGATTCGGTACTTTACTGTTCGTTCTCCTCTACTCATAAGCAAATCGATTTAGAGGTAATCTCGAATATGGCTTAAACCCCAATGTTCGGGTTCTTATTTGTATATAATTTATGTGATCTACTATTGTTATCAAGTGTAGTGGTGAATGGTATTAATTTCGGTTTAATTACAAATAATTGTGTCTGATCGAGGGAGAGTGGTGGCTGAGACGGGAACCATAATTTGAACTTGATTATGGCTTGAGATCGGTAAATTCAACAACTGTTGACTGCGGTTGTAAAATTAATATCTTCAGGGTTTAATATTAGTAGAGACTGAATCAAATTAGAGGAACCTGATGGCACTGTTTCAGAATGTATGAAATACTGTGTCATATGAGAACTGTTGGCTTCCTTTGTTTCTTAATCTTTTATATGTAATGGATCTGCAGTTGAAGTTGAAGACCTGATCTAGGGACTAGTTAATAGAATGCAAAAGTTAATTAGCAATAGAACTAAATCAACTGATGAACCAAAGCATGTTTCATTCTAATTGCAATATTTCATTTTATCGCACTTGTTAGAATGTTACAATTATCATCTTGCTCTTTAATCTGATAAATTTCATTGATTCTAGGAAAGCTAATATGGGAACAGAAAGTGTCAATTGGCATTCAGTTTTAGACTGTGACCAATGGGTTGCCCTCCCAGTAGCTGGGCAACGACCATCAGCCCGCTATAAGGTTCACTCATATCTTTGCTATACAATTATTCTTATTTCACTCTTCTTATCTTTTTCATATTCCTTGTTATACAATCACTTGTGTGTTATTCCAATGTCATTTTTTCTTTCATTGTAGCATGCTGCAGTTGTTGCTGATGAAAAGTTATACATTGTTGGTGGAAGTCGTAATGGGAGATACTTATCTGATGTTCAGGTATCTTTATTGTTGTCTGCTCATCTTTCCATTGTAGGTTTACTAATAAGTGGTTATGGTAGCAGGCATTTGATCTGAAAAACTTAAGTTGGTCCACAATTAAAGTAAGCACAAAATCAGAATCTGAAAATTTCCCTGCTGTATCTGGTCATAGTATGGTTAAGTGGGGAAACAAACTCCTCCTTCTTGGTGGTCACTCAAAAGATACCTCTGATAACGTGACAGGTTTGTTTTATTGATAAAGTTGTTCTGATTGCTGTTTGCTGACCTGGACAAGTATTTAGTTCTGATTGAAATGATCTTACTGGTTGTTCATTACCTTGCAGTGCGTTTCATTGATCTTGAATCACATGTATGTGGGACACTGGAAGCCACAGGAAAAGTTCCGGAAGCTCGTGGTGGACAATCTGTTTCATTGGTTGGTTCAAAACTCATAATGTTTGGTGGAGAAGACATAAAGAGAAGACTTATGAATGATGTTCATGTTCTTGATCTTGAGACATTGACATGGAATGTTGTTGAGACTATGTAAGTATGTTTCACTTATATTCATATTTATATACTACTAGCCTCATTGCATGCTTTTAAAAAGTTTATGCATTGATTTTTTCTGCTTTGATAGACAGACTCCTCCAGCTCCCAGATTTCCTCCAGCTCCCAGATTTGATCATACAGCTGCAGTGCATGCAAACCGTTACCTTCTAATATTTGGTGGCTGTTCTCATTCAATTTTCTTTAATGATCTACATGTGCTGGATTTGGAAACAGTAAGTGATTTTATATATATATATATATATATATATATATATATATATATATATATATATATATATATATATTAGTATCATCTTAATTTTAAGTTTATGATTAAAAAAAAAATCATTGTATTGCAGTTAGAATGGTCCCAACCACAAATTCAAGGTGATTTAGTGTCTCCTAGGGCAGGTCATGCTGGCGTCTCTATTGATGAAAATTGGTATATAGTTGGTGGTGGAGATAATAAAAGTGGTATGAATATATGTTAAATAAAATAAGGTTTGACTTGTTTATAATTTATAAAACCTCAATATAACCTTATGTTGCAGGTGCCTTGGAGACATTGGTGATGGATATGTCAAAACTTGTTATCTCAACATTGACAAATGTGAAGGGAAGAGATCCACTAGCCAGCGAGGTCGCCATTTTAATTTTTGTATAAAAATATTTTTCTTTGTTGTTTACAATCCTATTTATTTATTTATTTTTTTTAAATGAAACAGGGGCTGTCTGTATCATCAGTGTTAATAGATGGGGAACACTATTTGGTTGCTTTTGGGGGGTATAATGGGAAATATAGCAGTGAGGTATTTGTGATGAGACCAAAACCAAAGGATTCTAAGCATCCAAAGATCTTTCAGTCACCAGCAGCTGCAGCAGCAGCAGCTTCTGTAACTGCAGCATATGCCCTAGCCAAATCTGAAAGCTTAGAGTTCACAACCATGGATTCAAAACCTAAAGTGGATCTTTCAGTTGAAGTTAATATGATCAAAGGAGAGAAAAAAACATTGGAATCGTCAGTTACCGAGGTCAAAGCAGTAAATTCCAGTCTAATGGAAAAACTTGAGGAATGTAATGGTGCTCATGTTGACTTATCCATGGAATTGCATTCTGTTAAAGGCCAACTGGCTTCTGAAAGATCAAGATGTGCTGAACTAGAGGTATTTAATAATCAAGATACATTTAATTTGGAATTACAATGTACTTATTGTTATGGTGGTTTCAGGCACAGATCTTGGATCTACAGAAGATGTTATCATCAATGGAGTCCATTGAGCAAGAGGTTCAAACGCTTCGCTCTGAAAAATCAGCAATAGAGCAGGATATGGAAGTTTCTGCAACTGATGAAAAGCAAGGTTCAGGTGGAGGTGGAGGTGGAGGTGGAGTTTGGAGGTGGATAGCTGGATAAATTGGTGATATGATACGGATCAAACTTGCAATCTTATAGCATCTTAAAGGTTGAATATTTCATTCATTATAAGTCAAATATTCCAAATACTTTTTTTTCGTTTAATTGTTTCAACTTATAGGAACGAGCTTCTACATTTTGTGACATGTGATGGTAATTGATTGGGATGAATTTTGATTCATTTGAATTGATGCTATTCAATTAAAATATTAATGGTTTGTTTATGCAAAAAGGTGAAGAGAAAGAAGATATTGAAAAACACTACACTACACTTGTGACTTGCTAATAACAAGTTATTGATGTCTAATAGAATACATTGAAGGATGTATCCATGTTCCGGCTTTATGATAGATTGAATACATATGGAAGCAAAAGTTATGGTGATCAAAGCTTGGATTTGAGTTTCTGTTTGCTTTGTGCCACTAAATCCTTTCGCAATATCTTGCCTGCAGCAGACTTTGGTATTTCGTTTATGAAGGAAACTTTCCTCACCTTCTTGAATGGAGCCACCTGAAAGATAGATGCAAATAAATACAATCAAATAGCTCTTAGGTTGCATTTGCTACGCAGAGTCTTGATTGGACTGGACAATTTTCGATGATGAGAATGAAGAGGGGGTTCATGTCTTTTGCACAGATAAAAGATCAAGAGCAAGTCCCTCTTCCACCTTTCTTGGTAGGACAATCCCTTTCTTCAGTTCTAGTCTCCCAGTCCAATCAATACATGTCAAACATAGTACAGTCTGTTTTGTCATGTCATGAAGGTATCTAGACAAACCTGACTGGCAACAAATTTAATAACTTGGTCTTCACTGAGTTGACATCCAGCTGCTCTCACCACGTATGCCATGGGTATCTCTCCTGCCTCTTCATCTTCAAGTCTAAAATATTGCAGATTCTTTATAAACACACAAAAACTTAATCACACACATACACAACCACACAGAAACTCACGGTATGACTGCTGCATCCAGTATTTCAGGATGGCTCAATAGTACGGCTTCAAGTTCTGCTGGAGCTACCTGCATTTATGCTTCATGTCATTTCCTCATATATGCATTTCAAAACACGCACATATTCACACACTTGTCCACTTACCTGATAACCATTATGTTTAATGAGCTCCTTTATCCTATCAACAACATAAAGACACCCATCTTCATCAAAATAACAAAGATCTCCAGTCCTCAACCACCCATCCGAGTTAATAGTTGCAGCCGTGGCCTCTTCATTTCCCAAATAACCTTTCATCACAGTGGGTCCCTTCAGCCACAATTCACCTTCCTTATAAGGCGGCATAGCAACCCCCGTTTCAAAATCAACCACCTTAGCACAAAAACTCGGTAGCAAACCGCCCGAACCAGCCAGATGAGTCTTCGCCTCTTCATTACTAACAAATAAAGTCGCTGCCCCGCAGCTCTCGGTCAGCCCATACCCCGGCCTAAGAGCCACCCATGGAAACCTGGCCCTGAACCGATCCACCAACTCCTTACTCAACGGTGCAGCTCCAGACCCCACCCGTCTCAAAGATGATAAATCATACCCACCTCCATCATGTTTGACCAGACTTAGTATCACCGGAGGAACCGCCGGAATGTTGTTGACTTTATGAGTGTGTATAGCCTCTAACATACCTTGAAACTCGTATTTTTTCATTAAAACCGTTGTAGTACCCGAACAAAACAACCCCAAACCGAAAAACGCGAGACCATAGATATGAAACATCGGTATGAAACATAAGAAAACATCGTTGTTAGCCGACATGTTGTCGACTGACCATTTTAAGAGTGTCATGACTGAAATGAAATTTGCATGTGTTAAAACGACTCCTTTACTCACCCCGGTCGTCCCTGAGGAATACAGTATCGCCGCCGTATTCGACTGAGCTGACCGGGTTTCGGGCAACTCCATCGGCTCACAGCCGTCGATAAGTTCTTCTACAGACAACTCGTCCCCGCTAGAGGGACGAGAGGTCAGTAGGATAGGTACATTAGTTGACACCAACTTATGCTCCTCCCCGGGAGCCACAACGGCCAATGTCGCACCCGAGTCGAGCACTTGTTTGGTTATTTCTGACTTGGTGTTAAGTGGATTAGCCGTGGTGAGGACCCCACCGATTAAAAACACGGCTAGACATATGGTTGGGTAGAGGATTGAGTTTGGTGATAACAAAAAGACGACATCCCCCTTACGGATGCCGAGGCCGTGGTGCAACCCGGTTGCTAACGAGTAGATTGATCGTTTAAGTTGACCGTAGGTGGCTCGCTGGTTTGTAGCCAAGTCGATAAGAGCTACTCGTGATTCGGCTTGGTCTGATTTTGGGAACTGTGACAACACAAATGTAGCTGTATCGAGGTAAGGAGTGGTCGGGATCTTGTTATTGGTCCCAAGTTGCAACAACGAGTGGTAGATCCCTGTTTGGGGATCGAACCCACTCGTGTTTTTTTCTCCCGTGGGCCGAAATCGGCTAACAGGTGATACTTCCTCCAAGGTGTCCATGTGGCTGACGGATATGGGAGAATTTCAATGTAGTTGGATCAAACTATAAAGGTTTATAGTATGGAATGATAATGCAGTTGTGTCTTTATGTGCATCGTTATCACCGGACGTTAGGTACATCAATATCTGTCATGTTTGCCGGCCGGGTTATATTGATAAAAGATGACTAGATCTAGGGTAGATTCGATAGAATGTTAAAGTGATGAAAGGTATATACTTTGATAATTGTTTATATCTTCTTTGTCCTTGTCCTATTCTTAGATATTAATTGCCAACTATATGTCACTAACCTAAATATTTATAAGACTTACATAACAGTTTAATATAAACCTATAAATTTAAATAATCATTTTACAAGTAAGTCCTTTAAAATAAAAGTTATACAAAATATACTATCTGCTATATTGATTAGGGTCTAAAGATTCATTTTTTTTCTTTGTTTTTAACTGAAAATTAAGGTGGAGAAAAAACATGTAAAATACTTATTAAATCAAATTTCATACATTTTTGGGGGGCTGGAGATGGGAATTTTGACTATTTTCTATCATCGAAAATACACTAGATTGCTTTTATACATGGTCTGTTGTGTTTTTATGAAGTCCATAGTTGAAAAGTGTTCTATAGTTTGATTTTGGTTCCCAATATAAGAGTTCTAAATTCTAATGGTTGGTTAGCTAGTTGTTCATGTAAAGTAGCCATACATGTTTTTTCCCTTTCTCTTTATCTTCTTTTTTTTTATACAAATTATACCGACTTTTTGCTTTAAAATCACAAACCTTAGCTACCGTAAACATTTTTAATAATATTTTTAAGGATTGTTTAAAAATATCTTAGAGACCGTCAACATTTATGAGGAGTGGATACAGAACTATGATCCCAATTTACAAGAAAAAAGGTGACGCCCAAAGCTACAGAGAAAAAATATGGGTATTAAGTTATTTAGTCGTACCATTAAAACTATATGACAAGTAATAGAGGCTAGGCTGTGATGTATCAATGCTGTTTCATAAAATCCAATTTGGTTCATGCATCGGAGATTGACGACTAAAGTGATTTCATCTTTTCTGGTTTTGCGTCTATTTAAACAAATAAGAATATATATATATATCTATATATATATAGATAATATATATATATATATATATCTATATATATATATATATATATATATATATATATATATATATTGGAGATGCCATACGATAACGTACTCCCGGTATGTTCTTAGTCTCATTGGCGATGCAATTTTGATAGCGGTACTTTAATAAAAGGAAATATGCCAACTATATGAAACATCTTTGTTCCTATCAAGTTGAGCATTTAATCACGGAGATTGAACTTAAATCGAGTGCTAACTTGTTTGAATCTTGTCGATAAAACAATTGTTGTCAACTTAAGTTTGCACAGCCACATTGAAATGTACCATGCATGAATAATGTTTGTACTACTTGTGAGACTTTGTTATCGATTTGGATATTGATACATGCTTGGTGAGAGCTTGATCGGGTTACGTCTAACTCTATTAACTATTGGATCTCTTGGAAGGATAACTTCTTCTTTGATGCATTTGTTATTACTTCTTTTTCGGCAATTTGCAAGTTTCACAACACTATCTTTAAAACAAGCAAGCCAAAAAAGCACACTATTTCTATCAGATTGTGGCAATGTGTCTCATTCGTCTTTTTGGATTTGCAATAGGAACAAGAATAAAATTAATTGGATTGGTTGACTCACAAGTCACAACTCACAACCCTAGATTAGCTTTAAACATTGTGTAATGTGCTTTTTTTTTTCTAGCTACTTGATAGTTTTTTAATATATTTTACAGTTTTAAAAAAATAATAAAATAAAATAAAATAAAACTCTGGCTCACCATGAGTATCAATATTTACCTCCCTGATACCTATTCCAATGGAATTACAAAAGTCTGTTGATAATGTTGTTGTATAAACATGATAAAAAAAAACTTGTCACATAGTGTCATATTAGTATTATGATATGATTTATGAAACCATAAATGTATACGCAATCATAAAAGTTACATCTAGAAGTGATAATGAAAACATAAAATAGTTAATTAGTTATCAAACAAAAAGCCGAAAGCTTGAAGTTTCGACAAATACCTGTTCGGGTTGTTCCATGGTTCAAATCACAAGGTTTTGTTTTATGGTTTGTATTACCATTTATAAACCCAAAGAAATCATGTCATTTGAAAATTTTACTGAAGTGTAAAACCAACATAACTTGTCCGCTTCCGGTTGATTTGACAACCAACTTCAACCTAATATGTTTCATTATCAATTAGTTATCTAATAATATTATATAATAATTTAATACGTATTTATATGAAATGGTAGGCTCTTGATAGTAACACCCAACAACTTTTGTTGATATTTACAAGATGCTAAAAAAATTTCAATTTCCGAAAGTTTGTTTTGCTTAAAAATGGAACATTTTTTTTTTGTTTTGTTTTAAGTTGGTAAAAGATATGTAACATTTCTCGTACAGATTATAATCCATGTCTATTATTTAACTACTACGAGATATGATGAATTTAATTTTGATCTAGAACTTTTCAAAAATTTGGGACACTATTAATTACCATTTAGTGGTATTTATTAAATTATTTGTGTAACATCAAAAGACTTATAGACTAAGGGTATCAAGAATTGATTATCAAAATGAATTTCCAGAATTTGAATCATTAATGGAACATAGTAGGTTTTGAGTGTTGATCAACATTAGACCATGATTCTAACATCAAACTTTGCATCTACGAGCTTAATTCACCTTTTGGTTGAGTTTTGGGTTTTCCAAACCCTAGATATTGAAAGGAATCCGATTTTCTTTGATCATTCTGTTAGTAGTAAGAAGGGTCAGATACAGTAGGCAAGGGCACCAACTCCACCATGTTACGTTTTTTGAAGAAAATTCCTGTAAATTGGACAATGACAATGAAACAAAGATTTCACCTTTGATTTGATTCAACTGTGTTGACAAGTATCCGATTATCTATAATTCCATAAAGCATAACCCATCAATTGAGATCACAAAGTATATATAAGGAAAGTTAAATTTTCCAGAAATGTTTAGAACCCACGCGTATTAAATGTCATCAACAGCTTTCATTTAAAGATAAAGCATGTATCACATTCACATAGCTTCGGATCTTTTAACCATATTATTGTTAAATAAAGATATATCAATAAGATTAAATCAGCAACAGTCGATATTAGTCATAACAATAAACAAACACAACATGCGTGGAACAGTTGGTTAAAAGTAGGACTAAAAGATCAACAAAAACAATGACATGAAATAGCGATGTACTATTTCCTTCCAGTCAAACTTAAAACTTCCCCAAATGTTGTTACCAACAACTTTTAACAAAAATAAACATTTCCCAATTCCAGAATCAGAGATCAGTCAGCAAAATGACTGATAATGATTATTTGTTAAATAGATGCTGCTAAACTAAGCAAATAAACCATGAAGCAGAAGCATATATCCTCCTCTCCTGATGACCATTGACCATTTTCTTTTTTCAGCTCATGTATGACCTTGGACAGATGAGACTGCTGATCTGGGAGCTCAACGAAACAACCATGATGCACAGAAACAGGCAAAAAAACCAACTCCTAGAATGCCCCTTTCCAACAACACTTCGATCCTGATCCAACCTCAATGACAGAACAATGTCCAGATGACCATTCTTCCCCAATGACCAGTCCAGTTTGGTCCCTGTGAAAGAAACATCTCTTATACGGATCATTCCTGTGGTCACCCGAACTGATGTTGAAGCTTGTGAAGCAGCAGCTGCCAAATACTTTGAAGGATACTCCGATGCAAATGCTGGTGGAGCAGATATGTTCCCCAGCATGTAACTCGCCCTCTGGAGAAACGGGTATGCAAACTCTGCACAAACCTCACAGTCAGATATACATGACAAGGGTATTTTTGTCTTTTAATAAAGAATTAAAAAAAAAAAAAAAAAAGGAAGAATGGAGTCGAATTCCATCCATTTGGCACCAATTCCGGCCCCAAGATTACCTTCAAACGGTTGTTGGCTTGCTTCATTTGCCTCGTGAGGTGCTGAATCTTGATGTTCTTGGCCTGAAGAGGAGGCACCATTGTTGCCTGTTGCCAAATCTGGTTGCTCTACCTTTGTTGGAGCAATATTACAGTTCTGCCCTTCAAAGAATTGCTGGGTAGCTTCAATTGCTTCGTGGGTATCTTCGTTTGCATTCTGATTATTCAAATATAGTATCAAATTAGATAAGGGACGCTGATCAAAAACAAGAAAAAGTAACTTCAGTTATGCTGTGGTGTTGATGTTACCTCAAGAATGAGGGATGATTCAGGGAGAATATCCTCGTTGTCTATTGAATCAAAAGTGTATTCCAAGTTATTCGTTGGATTAATAAATGAAGTATATTCATCAAACATTTCAAGGCCGGGTTCTGTTTTGACTTCGTTTTTAAGATCATCTGCTTCGAGGAATGAACTTGCATCAAACTGAAAGTCACCAGTAGAAGCATCAAAAAAGGGCTCATCAAGCAAGTAATCCACATCAAAATCTGAGGCATTGTTTGTTTCACCAATGTATTCATGCTTCACAGATTTTGGATCCATTCCATTCTGAACAGGCAAATCAAACAACTTAGGCACATCTTCTTTGTCAGCTTGATGTTGATCCTCACCCTCATCCATCAACAACTTTTGAGGGTCTTCAATCATTTCTGTCGACACGTCAGCACTGCTGAGATTATCACCATCATGCAAGTCCAATGGAAGGGGAGCAACTTTGTCTGGTGTGTCTGAGCCAAGAATCTAAGGGAAAATAAAAGGAAAGAGCATTCATCAGAATCATATATATATATATATATATATATATATATATATATATATAGATGCACATCAGAATTACATAAAGGTGAAACCTGTTCTAGGTCATTTGCATCCAAGTAGGCATCATCATCATCAACAGGAAAATCTTCAGCAAACTCCTGCTTGGGGACCATTACCAGTTCATCATCCTCCCATTCCTCCTCAACAAATGGTGCCCCATATTGTTCACCATTTTTCGGTCCAGAACCACTCTTCCGGAAGATTCTACAAAGGACAAATGAATCCTGCCAGCACAAAATACAGAAAAGCCAAGAAGATGCATCAAAACTAGCATAATGTATGATTACTACGCCGAAGCCATATAATTTTCTCATACACCTATTGTATGTTAATGTTATACAAAGTACATGGATCTCACCTGGACAATTCCAGCTTTTTCCAACTCCTGATCAATGAGTCTGTATTCATGCATAACCCAGTTTGTTCTCTCTCCCTTTGGAGCCCGACCACTATGATACACCAGAGTTTTTTTCATGCCAACCAGTTGAGACCTATGGTAAACAGACCGGGTCTTTCCCAGTTGTCTTCCAGTACCCTTTATCAGTTGCTCGATTTGTACGTGACCCATTCCCATACTTCTTATCCAGGACACTGAAAAAGTACCATTCCAGATCTCTGCTCTTAAGCCTCGACAGACCTGCACCCCCAAATTGACCAAAAAGAATCAATTCAAAGAATCTTTTGAATTTGTTAACCTTTCGAATAAGATGACATACTAGCTCTATGTTAAGATAATTACTGGAATTTCACAGTATTGCCACTTAGATTCACATGAATCCAACCAATATCGTCCAGATCACTTCCTAGATGCATCAAAAGTGTGGTTCTAAGAATATCTTGTTGATCCGGAGCGGAATATTTAAACAAGGGCGCATCAAATCGACAATTAAAAGCTTGGTTTCATTAAAACCAGACGAAATCACACAACTAAAACGACAACCATACACTTAATTTAAATAAATAAGACCTAAGTAACACAATTCTTCACCATAGAAAGAAGTGAATTAACCTGGAAGATCCCAAGGTTCGACTTTGTAGACATCAACATCAGAAATAGCGTCAAATCGGAAGGGTTTGCCGCAAATCTTACGCCTCAGATAATACCGTACAAGTTCTTCATCCGTTGGATGAAACCTAAACCCAGGAGCGAGAGAGGAAGCCGTTGTTGGAGCCGGTGTTACCGAATCAAGCACCACTGCCATATACGAATAAGATTTGAAGATGAATTTAGAGAGAAAAAAGTGGGGTGAATTGAGGAATTGTGTTGATTAGGGTTTTCTCAATTTGAGGCATTTGATCCAGAGAAAGTAAAAGCGGGCTTGAGTTGGTCCAAAATGACGACTTTAATTCCTTATATCTGTCAACACGGAGTCGTGGATGCTTCCTAGAAGCTCAGAATAGACTTCGGTGGCACTCAACATACCACTTTTTGTTTCCTAACGTAAATCCATTAAATAAACAAGTACTGTATTACCTAAAATAATCATTTGTAAACCATATACTATTTTCATAAACGTATACTAAATTAAATATAGACATCTATGAATATGGATACGAAATTATTTTTTAGGAACCTATATTTTGCTTATTGGTTCTTTTTGGTATAAATATGTAGATTTTATATATGGAAGTAAATTGGATTTTTTAACAACTTAAAACCTAAATGCTAATAAAAACATACTAACCAAAAAAAAAAAAAACATTCACGAAAACAAACCAAAAAAATAAGTATCATTCTCCTATCAACAAATGAAATCATCTTTGTTCTAATCCTAAATTTCAAAAAAAATATTTCAAACTAAAAAAAAAAAAAGTTGCCATTAAACTTGGCAAAGAAGTCTCTTGCAACCAAAGTGGATGGATAATCTGGGAAACTTGCAATATCTCTTGGTGAATATATCTTGAAGTTAACATCGTTGATAATGTGTAATATCTTTACAGATGGACATTATAAGTTTATGTTTTGTTAAAAAATATACACATGTGGATGCTTAAATACGATATTGTGTGTAAACAGGTGTGTTGAATAAAATTTTATACAATATGATGTTTATATTTACATCTATGGGTAGAAAAATAACATTTATGTCAAACACACACAGGTAGAGAGTCTTATATGTATCAAACATAGTCACGGTTTATTAAACAAACTTAATTAAGTATATGTCATTATTATATACAGAACGACAATAAATGTAGCATTAGATAACCATTGTATTCTTTTAATTGATTTGTTATAAGTATATACTAATCTATTGCAATAAATATAGAGGTATAATTTTGTTAAATAGATAGAGGTTTAATTTTGTTAAATAGATATTTTGAAAGAATATTTTAAAACATACGACATATAAATACATAGAAAGAAGAAATATGTAGATCTAATAACAAGTTATATGTTTTATTTTGTACTAGGTGTGACACCCGTGTATTACACGAGTTTATTAAAAAATATATATAAACTTATAAACCTTAGGCAATTTAAAAAATAATAATTTTATATATATAAAAAGCTTTGATGAATAAATATATAAATGAATACAAAGTAATACAAATTTATGTAAAAATATGTTTAAATTGAAAAAAGTTACTTTTATGTAAATAATGAAAATAAAAAAGGAAAACAAATATGTTGAGACGTAAATTTGATGGAATTTATTATAAATTATTTTAAGAATGAATTGAATTAATTAAATAAATGATTTTCACTAAATAAAATGGAACCAATAAGCAAATTACATGTGGAAAACAAATAATGAGAAAATAATGAGAAAATTACATGTGGCAAATTAAAGGAGAATAGGAGGATTTAATTTTGTGTTTAATTTCATGTATGACTTTTACTATTAGTGACGTGACAGAAAAGAATGTTTGATAAATTAAGTTTTGTTAAAGAAATTTGAAGAATATTATAATTTTGTGACATGTAAAACAACCAACAATAATATTACTTTATAAAGAACATCTACTTGTCGGTCAAACTATAAATTCAAAAGCAACAAACATGATTAATTAGTCAACACGGGTATACAAATACATATGCAAACATGCCTAAATGTAAACATACACATAAACATACAGGTGTTGTTTATTTTTTCAAAGCGAAAACGTCTGAAGTTTGCGGACCACTTCTGCAACAGCAGAAGAGGTGGATCAAACGGTTGCATCCTGTAATAAGAAGTATGTTTGTTTTTTAACATTTACATGTTGTTGCAATAAACTGTAATTCAAATAAACTAATTTTACAAACTTAAATTAGTTTTTCAACATCGAAATTTTAATATGCCTAGTCTTATAACACTGAAATAAAATTCATACAACCAAATTAGTCTTACAATCAATTTCATTTAAAATGATACATTCTATATTTTGCATCAACTGTTCAGCAATTTCATCTCGTAATTGAGTCGTATATTTACGGTATTGTAGTACTATGTGTTGGATGATTAACTGGTTGAACATTTGACTCCGAGAAATGGAACCCACAACCTTAAGAAACTACTCACATTATGCAACTAATGTTCTAGCAAAAAGAAAGCCAACTTCAGACACAACTGTCTTCATCTAACATTAGGATTTACTATACTAGCCATTTGTCATGAGACAGTTGAAAGAAACAACCATGGCTATGTTCTTTTGGGCAACCTACAAAAATACAAACCAAGAATAATTCAGCTAATAATAAAGAAAAAGTAAATAGTTATTAATTATTGCAAATCTTGAGCACAACAACAAGTTTTTAACCAAAGGGGAGAACTCCATGAATCTTCAATCATATATCCTTTAGCAACATCCACGCATCCCCTATCACAAAACAATTTCTAACATTCCAATGAATATGAAGAGAACCAAAATCTTGACACATAGATAACAAAAAACGATGTTTCAGCATGACAAAAATCAAAAAAAATATATGATATTCAGGCGACGACACTAGGCTACGACCAAGTTTGCGACGAGTCAATACTTCATGGAGGTTGAAGATTATATGGAGAAGGAAGAAGGATGGAGCGACGTTGTATGAAAACAAATGTCACGTTCTTTTTTTCTTAGGGTTCAGAATTATTTTGAAGTGGTTGGTCCAATGTTGCATCACACAGTAAACACACAGAGCTTTTATGTTAGAAGCCTTATAAAAAAAACACACAACTGCGAAAGCTAAACTGATGTGTGTGTTTTGCACGACGCAACCAAAAGTGGTCAGAAGAGTTTAAAAAAATAATAATAAATAAATAAAAACAGCTCCATACACATGCAGACATACAAATGCATGCACAAACCAAAGATATTGACATCAACAAATTAACATGAGTAAATTACACAAATTGTCTCTCGTACAGGTGCCAAAAAGCATGTTCAGTCCCTATTTTCAAAAATTAACTTGGACTGTCCCTCGTTTAGTTAAAAGTTGCACGATTCATCCATCGTTAGTTTAAATTTGCAAGCTTCATCCCTTACAAGACATAAAATGACTATTATGCCCTTTTGTATTTTTTTCCAATGAATTTAATGTTGTTATTATTATTATTATTTGTAACATCTTGATTTCTAGGTATTTTCCAATTTGACCCTTGGTTGGTGTTTGTTTTGCAAATTTGGTCCCTACGGGGCAATTTCGTAATTTTGGTCATTGCTTGTGTACGCTAGACGTATGTAGCCAGGTGTTAGGCGTGTCAAACCCCAACAAATAAAGGGTACAAATGACTCCTTAAACACTACTACTATGCACTAAAAACGTAGTACAAGGTAAGTAGGGTCGATCCACAGAGACACGGGACAAGTGTTTATACCTTTATGCGTAAGGTACAAAAATGGTCACAGAATGGGGGGAATTTATAAGCAATGATTTAAACTATAGAATAAAGCAATAAGTAAATGATTAATTAAGTGAAATAAGTTCAAGATTTGTAAGTACTCCAACTCTATGCAAGACAAATTAGCAATGTGATTCCATGGATGACAAGATATTTGTTTAATTCTATCTAAGTTGGTACTTGAAAGTGTTAACAAGCTCTAACACTTCCCATTCACCACAATAATTAACCAAAACAAGCTCTTTGATTAATCCTAACCTTACCAATCTAATCTAAACAAACTCTTAGAATTAGGTTGAAAGATTGCATTAAACTTTATGTGAATGTTCCCAACAACACTCAATACTCCTCATAAGCTCGGGAGCATAAGAATGTGTGAATAAGATTTACACTAAATTCATTCAATAGAAATCAGTTTAGTGCTTGTTACCTAGTCCAATTTACAAAACAATTACGGATTTTGCAATTAGATAACTTGAATGATCTAACCCTAATTCAAATGGCCAATAAGAATCACAATTAGAATCAAACATTCGATTGAAACAAAATCAAATTCACTAGATAGAAAATTGAAAGAAAACATCAAAATCACAACTAGAAGTCAAGACATAAAGTTGGAGAATCTAGGGTTCTAGCCACTCATGACTAGAACAAGATCACAAATCTAGAAAATGAAATTAAAGTTCTTAAAAAATGAAATAAAATGTTCCCAAGTGTTAATCAACTTCAAAATCCTCAAGAAAATCGCATTCTCTACTCCAAAAGTCGACCCCCCAAAGTAAAAAATCGGTTCCCCCCTTTAAAAATGGTGAAAAACTGCTTTAAAACCCGCATTTACGTTTACACGGCCCGCGTAAATTAACATTGTCATTTACACGGCCCGCGTAAACGCAAAAATATACTGTGCAGAAATCTACGTTTACACGGCCCGCGTAAACGCAAGGCTTGCATTTACACGGCCGTGTAAATCTCTGTAAAGCCAAAATTTTCATTTCTTTGATATCTTGCTCCTCGGTGCTCCGCAAGTCCTGAAATTTTGTCCGCAACTTTTATTTACCTCCTCCAACAATATCCTACCTCCAAAAGTCCATGAAATATCACAAAAGTATTTGAATGAAATTGCCTCATGAAAAATCCCGAAAAACATGCAAAATGCATGAGTTTAAGCCTATATGCAATGTACTTTTATGAAATAAAGCTACAAAATGGGTACATGAAATGCACCTAACACCAGGGTCCCTAATGGAGTTTGTGAGCATGTCAGAGTGCAAGACTCTGAATGATGTGATTATTGGAGCCCGCGAGAGGGAGGTTGATTTGGAGTACCTCGGGAAGAGAAGGACGGGACAGGTTCGGACAGTAATAGGCTAGGCAAAGAGGCCCAGGACTCAGGATTCACAGTTGGGAGGCCAGCAGGGTCCGTACTGGTTGTGTCAAGTGTGGGAGGACCCATGTTGGAGGTTGTCGGGAGACAGGGATGGGATGTTTTATTTGCGGACAGATGTGTCATGTCGGTAGGGA